GCTGATGGTACAGGAGGGAGGAGAGACAAAAAAAAAAAAAAACCCACAAATTTTGTCTGATGCATCTCATCTGATTTGAGTAACTCCATGAGGAATTGTTAGTATCATTTTATTAATGAGAAAACTGCGGCTGAGAAAAACTGACTCACAATCTTATCCATTTTCTTTTACTCTGTGCTATCCTTGAGAAGATTAATTTCACATTTTGTGTAAAAACAGCATATAAAATTATATATCTGTATATTGACTATAATGATATAAAAAGATCAAGTGAAAACATGAAAATAAATATGACTAAATGCTAATAAATTGTGGGTTTTGAGAGGTGGGGTAAAGGATGCCTTTTTTCTTATTCCTAGTTTTCTGTGTTTTCCATAATACATGACTGCTTTTCTATCATCAGCAGCGATAACAGCAACAACAGCAACAAAAGGCACATATTGCTTTAAAAGGAAAGCTGCCTTTGTCTCTTGGGCTACCAACATTCCTCTAGGAAGGTAGAAGGCTTTTAAGAAATTTATGGAAACAAAGACTGTTTGGCATTTCAAAGGCTTTTTAAGCCAAACAAAATCCATAATGAAAGTTTTGCCATAAACTTTTGGAGTTGCTACTTGGACTATGTTGCACAGTTTCCCACCAGATATACTGTAAAAAACAAACAAAAAAGTATGTTAGTGTGACTCAACTGAAAATGAAACTGATAGCCTGATCTGTAAAATATCCTGCATACCCCGTATCCTGTGGAAATAATATATTTGAATTGAATGTGTTTATCCATAGTGTAGTCCTTTACCAAGATATTTCTGTGTCTCCAAAATACTGAAAGATCCAATCAATCCCTTTGATATATGCAGTCAATGATAAAGATATTTTATCTACACAGTGCTGAACACCTGAACTGACTGAACAGAGAGAGATCTTTTGGGAGTGTGTAGAGCTGAAATGGGAAAAATGTGATCATTTAAACCATGTCTCCATTATCATCACAGCCAATTGTAAAGCAAAAGATTTCGTCAATCAGATAATTCTTTTGTCTACACAATTCCAAGCCATTATTCTGAGTAATTTGTTTCATTGAATTTACCAAATATTTAGTTGGTTTCCTAAAACATAATTGAATCTGAATAATAGGAAGAAAAAAGATTCTGGTCTGAATTTTCTGCATAGGGGATATAAGTTAAAAGCAAACAAATGAATTAACAAAAACCCCACACTTGTCCCTTACATATAAATACTCTCTTATTTCTTCTTAAAAAGTAGTTCTTTTAGGCTATGCACATTTAACTTTCATTACTTGGTTAGAAAGACCTGGTCCAGACAGAATATTTATTAAAACGTACATTAAAATTGCCTGAAAGAAAAAACATGCAGAGAAAATATTAGAATAATAGTCCTTGGGTTATAGGAGGTGGAGTTAGAACCTTTGGAAGGTTTAAGAAAAGAACCGTTTCAGAAGAGGAAGAGCCAGATCAAAGGGTCACTGATTTTGGACAAAACTGACTCCCCTTCATGGCTCTCATTCCATTCATTGGAGGCACTACCGTTCTTCCAGACTCGGAACCCTGAAGCCACATTGAATTGTTCCCTCTTCATCCTTTGTATCTGATATGTTCACATCTCACCCTCTCTTTCTTTGAAAGCTCTCTCTGGTTCACACCTTACTTTACATTCTCCTGATAGAGAGTCGTACTACTTCATGCCTGAATTACTACCAACAACTTCCAAAGTGGTCCCTCTGCCACAAGTCTCTCAGCCTCCAATCCTGCCTGGTCCACAGCTGTCAGATTTATTGTCCCCAAACATCACTTTCCTCATTGCTGCCGCCTGCTCACCACTCACTTTCTTCATTGTCCCTGCACTAAGTTCAAACTCCTTGCTCTGCCTGATAGCTGGGACCCTCTACAGCCCTTTCTCTCATTCTCCTTCTCTCTCTCTCTCTCTCTCTCACACACACACACATCAATCCAATCGTACTTTTTGCTGTTCCCCAAAGACTTCATTTTAGTCAACCAAATCACTACATACTATAAAAATCCCCTTCCTGACCCCTTCTCCAAATCCATACCATTCTCATCCCAGCCATGTCCTTTCTGTGTAAAGTGCTGTCCCTCTTGACTTTTACTTTCCAAATTATCCTCATCCTTCCAGAGCCTTCTCAAATGCCACCTCTTCCATGAAGGCTTCTCTGATCCCTCTAGACCCATAATTTCCTTTCTTTTCTCTGAACTCTCCTCCTATCTATAATCAAGACTGAATTACATGACATATTACTTCAATACACTTCTTTTGATTTATATGGCATCCCTTGTTACTCAAGGAGGGTGTTTTGACATTTGTAACAGGGCACTTCATTGTGCAGGGCTGTCTAGCACATTTCAGGTCATTTGGCATCCCAGGCTCCTGATGCTAAGTGACAGGGATGTTATTGTGACAACCCCAAATGCTCTGAATACAATTCCAAATGCCCTAATTATTAAAAAGTTTCTTGGAGAAGTTTCTATATCATATACACACCTGCTCAACAAATGATCTTTGTTTAAATGGTGAATGCATATTTTAAAGAATAAATATTTCCCTTACAGTTGCCAACATATTAAAAAAACTCAGAATGAAACTAATTAAACATTCAGATGAACCAACACTCTATTTTAGGTGTCATTCATAAGGTATTTCATTAAACCCTCACACCAGCCCTGGTTGTTATTTATCCTTATCCTTAAAGATGAGGAAACTGAGGCTCAGAGAGTTCTGCTTACCCAAGGTCATACATCCAAGCTTGATTAGAGCCCTGGCCTTTTAAAGCCCAGGGTATTTGGAGTCAAATCTTTGGCTTTTTCTCTTACCACTCAGCCTCTATAAGGGCAGCCTATTTGTAATAGCTTTGAAATAAGAGTGTGAACATGTAACACAATTAGCAATTTGAAGCACATTATTAATGCTGATAGGTGCTAATGACTATAATTGAAAGGGAAGATATTAGACCAGACAAACAATATTTTAGAATTTAAAACAAGGATCTAAATTAGAGTCTAATGAATGAATCTACTCCTTGACCTTCTTTGCTACAGACATTACCCCATGTTTAGTCTCTAACTGAGAGGTATGTATTCTTTACTCTCTTAATGTTTGTCTTGGCAGATGGCCAACAGATCTCTCTAAGTTTCCCTTAATCAAGTTTTGGGTAACAGATGCCCAATACAAGGCCCAGTAAATATGCCTTGTATTAGGTAGTACTGCTAGACCCAAACAACAGAAATCTAAGAGCTGGCAATAGTTGCTCAACTCTTCCCTAGTTGCTCAAGTCTTTTCTATCACCTGGGCATCTTTAATACTAAATGTTATATAAATCAAGTATCATGGTATCATTTAAAATGTTGTATATATTTCTTTCTAGTGACAGTTCGTTATTCATTTCATGCATGTCTAAAACACCTACATTTATTAGTAACTTATTTCACTATGTGCCCAATGTCCAATTACAGTTCTTCATATTTCAGCTGATCTAGAGTTTAGGAAGTGATAGTGTGGATGATTCATGTGCTTACTTTAAAAAGTACACTCATGGGCTTCCCTGGTGGCGCAGTGGTTAAGAATCTGCCTGCCGATGCAGGGGACATGGGTTCGTGCCCCGGTCCGGGAGGATCCCACCTGCCGCGGAGCGGCTAGGCCCGTGAGCCAGGGCCGCTGAGCCTGCGCGTCCGGAGCCTGTGCTCCACAACGGGAGAGGCCACAGCGGTGAGAGGACTGCGTACCGCAAAAAAAAAAAAAAAGTACACACTCAGTTTCTATCTGTGCACATAGGAAGAACTGCATTCCTGCAGGATTTTAAAAAACAGAAAGAAAATTCAACCCATTTGAAAGAGCCAGTATTGTTGATTTCAAGTTTTTCTTTTCAGCTCTGAGGATGTTTACCATCTATTTTTTTTCTGCTTAACAAAGAAGGAAAAGGACCTGAAAGCCAAGTTCATAGATAACTTAGAACAATTGTGTAACTATAGGTAAATGTGCATATGATATAAAAGTATTTCATTCCTGTATTGTCTTATAAACCATATCTACTGAAACAAAGTGAAACCCTTTGTTTAACTCATATAAAACCATTATTCAACTGTAACCACCTGAGCATTCAGGTGATCTGAAACGTAAAAGGATTTTTAGTAATCCTTAGCAAGAAAAACAGACATTTAAAAAAAATTCAATAATTGTTTGTAACAAATTGAGCTTGGTGTTAGCCTTTGCCTCTCACTGTTGTGGCCTCTCGCGTTGCGGAGCACAGGCTCCAGATGCACAGGCTCAGCGGCCATGGCTCACGGGCCCAGCCGCTCCGCGGCATGTGGGATCTTCCCGGACCAGGGTACGAACCCGTGTCCCCTGCATCGGCAGGCGGACTCTCAACCACTGCCCCAACAGGGAAGCCCTGGTGTTAGCCTTTTATTAGAACATTTCCTGAGCAAAGTGCATTTTGAACTGCTACATGCTGGGACACTTTGTAGGGAGGTGGAAGAGAAGGTAACAGAATCTTTCTCCACTAAGACTAAAAAAAAAAAAAAAGTTCAGTAACCCCTCTCAGTTTCATTACTGTTTTGACTCATCTTTTCTCAAGCTATCTTGTCAAATATTTGTCAGACGATAGAATTCTTAAAAATACCCAGCTGCTCCCTATAGAAGCCAGAAATGGTCTAAATATTTTGATAACATTTCTCAGAGAGACGCAAACATTTTAAAGGTGGAATTCTAGGGGTTTTGTTATATCTCCTTATATCCTAATAGCACGTGAACTGGTATCTGCTGATGTGCTATCAACATTTTCCCATCTATTTTTAGGTCTTCAGTTGTTTTAGAGGTGGATTTAATATGTAAAGCAGAAGCTTACACTGTGAAACATTTGCATGATTGTATTTTAGTTTTACCATTAGCTAAGTAGGGCAAAGTTGATCCCATCTCACAGGGAACTCTCTCCCACATTTCCTCTGTGGACTTGGAGGTTCAGATTTGCTTACCTGCTTCCTTGAAGATACTGTGCTGTTGAAATATCTACTAGAGGTCTTTGAATTCAAATTCTTGTTCTGATGGGTTGAGTCATTTTTCCATGTCTTAGAGTTTTCTTTAGGATCTGAAGGAATGGGATTTAAGAAGAGGATCCTAGCTATGAATCCATAGAGGACAGTGGCCAGGATCATTGGAACAACATAAAAGACACCAAAGTCCATTAGGTAAATAGGTGAGTAGTAATTCCTGGAGATCTTGTAGCCACAGGACACCACAATAGCATCTTTATAGGTGCTAATATTGAGATCCAGCAAGAAGAACCACAGCATACAGTAAATGGATGTGAAAGCCCAGACAAAGATGATGATCTTTTTGGCTCTGGAAAATGTGCAGAGAAACTGGGCTTTGATGGGGTGACAGATTGCTATGTACCTCTCAATGGTAAATGCTGTGATTGAACAAGAGGATGCATTAATGCCCAAGTACTGGAGGTAAGTAATGCAGAGGCATCCAACGTAGCCATAAACCCAGGAACCATAGATACTGTCCGTTATGTTGGGGAGGCCTGCGGCCACCAGGACCATGAGATCAGCTACTGCTAGACTCACCAGGTAGCAGTTTGTGGGCGTCCTCATGTGCTTGGTTCTCATGACCACCAGGACTACCATGATGTTGCCCACGATGCCCAGACCACAAATAATGAGCACAAGTAAGATGGTGACCACTTGGTATTCTAGGGCCACCACGGCTCGAGGCTGAAGCTGGGTTTGGTTCAATTCACTTACTGTCTCGTTTTCCATCTTTAGTGGCTTGAGGTTTCTCTGAAACACTTCTCAACACATCTTCTTGCCAGTGCCCTGCCTTTATCACAGTGGTTCTCTCCCCCTGTGAAGAGTTACAATTCATATTCATTCACAGCATCACCAATTCTGATCAAGTCACAGTCACTTACAGGTAATTCTCCTCTCCTTTCACCTCCCATTTTTCTGCAGTAATAGGGCTCATATGTACTCCCCAAAACTCCTTTTATTGCAACTCTAGTGTAGGATGGAATAACTGTTTTGACTACCTTACCATAAGAGGCACTGGTTTTTTTCTTAATGGAGAAAAATGCTCAAGAAAAGAGACACAGAAAATGCTCCTTGTTTTGAAAGGGTGCTCAATGGAAAAAAAGAAAAGAAAAGAAACAATATCTGCTACCTGAAAAATAAATGCAAAGACATCTCTCAGACGCTTGGGAAAAGTACAAAGGAGAAGAAAAAGATACGAGGGGGGAAAAAGCCAAGAGGCTCAATGATCAAGCTTGACAGAAAATTAGCATCTGCTTCCTCTGCTCTCAAAGGGTGAGATCCCTTTGCTACAAAATAGCAAGCCTTTGAACCTACCTCTCCCCGTGCCCTCTGCCCTGCAGACCCAACAGAGAACAATTTCTTCTCTTACCTTTTCCTCTGTAGCGTTGCCTGCTTTTCCAGGTAGATGAGGCAGTATTAAGCGTGAGTTTCCAACGCTGCAGAAAACCTCGTCTACTTTGTTTGACAGGGAGACTACTTAGCAGTGCTCTGTCTTCAGAACTGCGGTTCTTCTAAACCCTTGCAGCCTTTCCAACTGATGACAGACCATACAGCCGCAGCAGAAGCAGCAGCAGAAGCAGCAGCAGAGAGCCTGTCAAATCGTAGATCGTTCCCTAATGAGAACATGCTCGCTCTCTGTCTCCCCCCGCCCCCCTCCCGCACACGCGCAAACACACACACTCACAATGGCAAATGCCAGTCAGTCCTCACTGATTCATAATCTTCTCCCCTTGAAGGATTTACTCTTAAATGTGCTAGTGATACAGTTCTAATCTGGAAGGCTGAAATCACCAGCAAGGGGTCCAGAGGCAGCTGGTCTTATAGTTGTTTATAGTCTAAGTTCTACAGCAACTCCAGTACCTGAGGCAGCCCTGAAATATATTTACACTCCCTGTTTGATAGGACTTGGGGATGGCAAATCCTTCTCAGTCCAGACACAGCCCTTGAAGCTTGAGATATGTGACTGAGCTGAAATCAACTTCTTTCCCTACTAGGGAAACCCTTAGACTATTTCTCCAGTGAAGGAGTGAAATTGACTCCCTCCTCTCATATTATATGAATGGAAAATGAGTTGAAATGGATTTTAAACCATTTCAGCTGCAATCTTCTGAGGCTTATAAAGATTATTTTTTAAAAACCTGTTTGAGCTAAGAACATCAATTCAAACCTACATATGATCTGTGAACTTTGTTTTTCACCTCTGGCTCTGCGTCACTTACTAGGATCTCTCTAACTGCTCTGGACGCCTCTCCCCTCTTCACCCACCCTGTGGACTGCCAAACAACATGTAGCACCCAGCAATGTTTTGTGTCAATTTATTTCTAGGTGGAATCTAAACCAGGGCCACTCTGGTAACCGCCTCTGAAACAAAACTTTATAAACAATCTTTTTTAGGAAAGTGTACTTCGGCTTGATTTTTATTTCTCTGAAGTAGCCCATGGGCAAATCTTTATACTTTTTAATGGGGTCTCAGAAAATATGTCTTTCTTCTCCAGGCACCAACTGAATACACCAAATGTTAATGTTTGTCCACTTTTATTTCAGACTGACAACGAATAACAGCCCTTAACTTAATGCCCTATAGAGTGAACAGGTTGATTCTCTACTCTAAGAAGTTTAGATGTTCTTTTTTCTAGAAGATGTCAATGGAAGAATAGATTCGGTGTAGACAGGACCATGAAGGAATCAGAGTCACGTTCAAGGCTAGGTAACAATGGGATGAAGGCGAAGCTTGGATCGTATTGAGTGAATTCCACCCTCTGAACCATCGAGGGCTCCTTGAGTATCTACTTCTCCTTCTAAATCAACCAGAGTTACAAATTAATGACCCATGACTCAGATTCAGGCTTCAGAAATGTATTGTTTGGCCTGCACAATGTAGGCTCAAAGGTAGACTATCGTCTCTCTACCTTTCAATATTGAGAGATTGTATAGTAAATCTGGATTTCTGCCTCTCATAAACATGGAAAGATCTGGCAACCAAGAGTCCATATTCCTGCTAGAAATAACCATCTGAAGCTGAGTAGTGGTTGTGAGTAGCAGTCTGTGGGGGGATAGGATGTGTCCTCTCCTCTTTTCCTCCCTCTTTTCTGTCACACAGGCCAGCTTCACTCAGTAATCCTGCACACCTGGCCTCTGTGAGTCTTGACTCTTGTATCACATGCAGTTCCTGAGAGAGACAGTGGAGGGTACCAGCCAAATACAAACTCTTTTACCCTGAATAGGATTTCTGCCCACCTTCTAGTTTGTTCCCTCAACTGGTTTAGCAGATTGGGTGCCAGCTTTACTTCTCTCCCTGCCCTAGAGGACAGAGATTGCTCTGAACACCTTGTTTCTGGTCGAGTCCTCTGCATTTTGGAATGAAAAGTGCTTTCTAAGGTGAAAGCATTGCCTCCCTACCCCATCCCAACCCCACCACCTCCAATCTGAAAGGCCTCTTCAAAAGTCACACTTCATAAAGCACATCTTCCCCTCTCATTATCCCCAGGATTTTAGTCAGCTTTCAGGCCTTCTGAAGAGACCTTATTTTAAGTCTTGGGTAGTAAACATGAGGGGAGAGAACATCTACAGTGCTACCTGCCCTGGCAATTCCACCTCCCTCCAAATCTTAGCACATTCTTCAGCATTTCTATGCAAGGACACCATTCTGAGTCTTCAGTTTCATTGCCTTGGGGCTGGGAAACCATTCTCCAGGCTTCTTCTCCCCTCCCCTGTCCCCCTTAGGAACAGGATTGGTCTTAGCTTCTGGGCCTATCTGCTGCCTTCCTCCTACTTCCTATTAGCTCTTCTGCTTTCCTTTGAGCTCTGTTGGGCTTAGGGAATCTTAGTTTTTATTTCCCAGCTCTTCATTTTTTCTTCTGATTATTTTTTATTTTTATTATTATTATTTTTTGCTTCTGAGAGAGCATTTGCCTTTTTTCCCCTTTCTTCCTCTCCCAACATAACAATTGTGGTAACAGAATGCAACTGCTGATTTACTGCTGCAGGCTGCTGCAGTCTTCATTCTTTTAGCACTTAATTGTTAAGCTCTCACTATGTACCAGGCATCTAGTATATAACATTTTGTTTTTACCTTCAGATAGGTCATGGTGTATTGGGACAAGCAGACTTATGAACAGTTACAAATATGCATAGATATGTTGAGAGGGCTTAGGTTGTGAAGGGGAAAGCATTTGTGGGCAGTAGGCACAACAGACGGAGGGGCCAGCGAGGGCTTCCGAGGCAAGGTCACATCTGAGAACAGTCTTGAAGAAAAGTGTAGCTTCTTTTTGAAGGGTGGGATGAGTGAAGATATTCTGACTGGAGGAGACAGAATATATAAGGCCCAGCTGTGTAAAATGGCAAGGATTGTGGGGGGTGGGGGGGTAATTTTCTGGTTCTGCTTTGGTTGTGAGGCGTATGAGCTGGTGACCGCGAGGCAGCTTTCAGAGTAATGAGCGCTCCTTTCTGCTCTGACTCACACCACCCCTGGCTCCTCCTTCCCTCGCCTTTAGCTAGCTCTTTCCTCTCTGGAGAGTACAAACTTCTGCTTTCACCATCCCAGACTTGCCTGTCCCTTATGGTCCTGTCTGTTTTCAAGCTAATTTATGCTCTTTGCAAAATTATATTTTCAAAGTAACTGTGATTTCATAAGGTAGGTTTTTTATTTGTAAATCTCAATCAGATAATATCTAATAAATGCTCCCTAAGTGTAAAGAACTGCACAGAAATGGATATAGAGTCTGTCATACAGAGTGAAGTAAGTCATAAAGAGAAAGACAAATACCGTATGCTAACACATATATATGGAATTTAAGAAAAAAAAATGTCATGAAGAACCTAGGGGTAAGACAGGAATAAAGACACAGACCTACTAGAGAATGGACTTGAGGATATGGGGAGGGGGAAGGGTAAGCAGTGACAAAGCGAGAGAGAGGCATGGACATATATACATTACCAAACGTAAGGTAGATAGCTAGTGGGAAGCAGCCGCATAGCACAGGGAGATCAGCTCGGTGCTTTGTGACCATCTAGAGGGGTGGGATAGGGAGGGTGGGAGGGAGACGCAAGAGGGAGGGGAAATGGGGATATATGTATACGTGTAGCTGATTCACTTTGTTATAAAGCAGAAACTAACACACCATTGTAAAGCAATTATATCCCAATAAAGATGTTAAAAAAAAAAAAGAAATAGTGTACAACTAGATTACACTTTACATTTTGGGTTGAGATTTTTTTCTCACAATAATATCTTAAATTCTAACCAACTGTGACTTCTATATCTTTTGAGTAATTCTGACTAGAGAGAAATGCATCCTTTGAAAATAGTTCAGTGGTGTCTGTTTTGAAAAAAAGTTGCTAAGTCATGGTTACAGCATGTAGATGGTGCATGAACTTCTCACTGCCCACTTTCAGTTTTGCTCTGTTTCCTCTGCCCTTTATCCAGGCCTTCTCAGTCGTGTGCCACTTGGCTAGCATCAATAAGAATGAGCATCACACTTACAGGCTCCTTTGTAAGAACGCCCTTGGACTCCAAGCTGGGACTCTTTTTTTTTTTTTTTTGGCCTGGCCTCAGACTGGACCCTCAAGCTTGAGGAAAGATTTAGCACTTCTGCTTCCCACTCTTGGCATTCCCACCCAGAGAGCTTGCTCTTGGTATCTGGCTTCCCCTTTCTTAGTTACCCCAGGAAATCATCTGCTTGGCCAAGTCTCTGTCCCTGAGACACAGTGGCTGACATGATTTTACACAAGAGGAATTCTACATAAGAGGAATTCAGGAAAGCCCTACCCTGGTCTCTGAAGGTGATCTTAGCTGTCTAGGTAGTAGCTGGCGATCAGAGGGTTGTCATGAACCCTTTAGTAGAAAGATGATTATTTATGCTATCAGCATTTCTCAAACGTTAGCGTGCATCTGGATCTCCAGGAGAGCTTGTTAAAACCGTCCCCAAATTGCTGTTTCAGTAGCCCTAGGGTGGGACCTGAGTATATGCATTTCTCATAAACTCCAGGTGATGCTGACGCTGCTTGTCTGTGGACCACACTTCGAATAACCTTGTACTATATGATCTAGCTCAGCGGTTCTGGTGTGGGAGGTGGGAGCAATGATGAATCAGAATCACCTAGAGAAAGTTCTAAAAATTTACATATCAGGTTAGCCCTCCTAAGTATTTTGGGTTTTGGTATATGTCCTCAGATTGGACTAGGGCCTGAGAAAGAGAGTGGGGCTCTGGACAAAAGCAATTGACTTGTTCTCCTTGGTATCTATCACTCTTTTTCATCTCTACTATCATACCCGGAGCTTGGCTTGGCAGGTGGGGGATTGCTGCGAAAGAGAAGATCTATGATCACTGTGGTCAAGTGGCACTGGGGTCAGAGATACTGTAGAGCATCCAGCTAGGTCAGCGGTTTGCAGGACCCAGACCATGGTGAGGAGAGGGCAAAATTTAAGGGGGTGCCCAAAACCTCAGTAATTTATACCATCAATATTTTAATGCAATATTTTTAAAATTAAAGTTTATGCAAAAAAGTCTATGATGAATACAATATCAACTTTTTAAATAAAGACAGCATCAATATTATGAATTTTCCCTTTCCGTCCCTTGTTGAATTTCAGAATCGTCTGGGGAGTTTTAAAAGATATAGATAGTTAGGTCCCTTTCCCAGATATTCTTATTTAATTAGTCAGGAAGTGAAGCCTAACCTTTGGTATGTACGGTGATGATTAAGAACCACTGAGCTACACCAACCAATGTTGGTCTCTGGAGGTGAGGGAGTGGTGGTATGTGGGTGTCCAGGCTGTGGGAGGGCCAGGGAGATGAGTAAACTAGGTGCGGGTAACCCACCCAGATTTGGAAAGGTGACAACAGAAAATGTTGGCAACAGAACACTAGCACAGACTCTGGTTCCTGGGAAAAATTATATAACTATACAGGTTTCTAGATTTAGAAGAGCAGAGTGAGGTACAGCCTATCAAGTTGAGATTCTGACACAGAAACCACAGAAGACTGGGTCACTGGAACTGGGATAGAAGGTTTGGATTCTGGAAGTAGTAAACAAAGTCAACTCAGGATTTGATGCTAAGTCACCTAGATACTGAACTAAGTATCCTTCAAAATTTCCCTGTTCAGGTGTAAGCTTGATCACAGAGCTTTGAGTAAAAGAAAGCATTTGGCAAACATTATAGAAAAGGTGTCAAAATTCATTTTCGCTGAAATTTAAATGTTAGCTAGAGAAAACTGTCGGCTGTTGATCAACAAAGAAAAATACTTTATGAAATGGGATTATGAAGTTGTGTTTGTGCTTATTGGAAAAGGTACAGAACCTGAAAGGTAAATAAGTTGTACAGTAATACTGTATATTTTGGGCACAAAGCACCCTTCCTTTCTATTTCTCAACCATATATACTCTTATTTTTCCATTCCCTAGTGTCCACACTTCTGGAGAAAATAAGATCTTAGATTTAAAAATGAAGTATAGTAGAAGTCAACCTAAAAATATTTCAAAATGAAAAAGCAGAAACATATATACATAGCTTCTTACCCTCTGCAGTCTGTAGCATTTGTTATCTGGCTGGGTGAAGCATGTTCAGGAAGTGTTAACACCAGTTACAAAAGTTTCCCCAAAGTGTCATGACCTACACAAAAGATTGAAGAATAAGAATTTTAATCAAAACTTCTGAGCTCATAAATCAACTATACCTCAATTAAAAAAAAATAAATAAATAAAAAGAAAAAACGTCTGAGCTTCTGATTATTTTGATTTATTTCATGTTTTATGGAACACTAAAGTTAGTTTTAAAAATGCATATAATATTAAAAAGTTACTGTAATTTAGTTATTATAAAATTCTATTCTGTAAGCTGAACATGGCTGACTCTGGCTGCTAGGAATTTCAAGTCCGAATTTGTATCCTTACATAAATGGTTGTGTAAGGCTTTATCAATAAAATGTTTTTTTTGCTTACTAAGTCTATCAACTTTGTATTTGACCTTCAGTTCCTCCTCTGCTCTTATTTATTATGTCAGACACACAGATGCAGACACATAACACTGCTTCCCAGATATGTATATATCATTTAAAAAATCAATTTTATCGAGGTACAATTTACATAAAGTAAATTCACTTTAAATGTAGAGTTTTGTGAGTTATAGCAAATACATATAACTTTGTAGTCACGACCACAATTAAGATACAGAAAACTTCCATCGTCCTAAAATGTTTCCTGTGTTCCTTCCCATGCAATTCTGTATTCCCCGAACAATTCTATGTTCAGGTAAATCTTGCTCAGCTTTCTACCTCTAGACTATATTTATCTTTTGAAGAGTTTCAAATAAGTGGAATTATACAGTACACACTCTTATGCACACATAAATCAGCACAATGTTTTTTATATTGACCCATTTTGTTGCCTGAAGCAGTAGTTTGTTCCCTTTTATTGCTGCACAACATTCCATCGTATGGCTATACGGATATATCATATTTTATCCAATCGCCTGTTGGTGGATATCTCACTTGTTTTTAGGTTTTGGTTAATATGAATGAAACTGCTATAAATATGCATGCAAATACAATGTCTGTAAAAACATTCTGCCATTTTTCTTGGATAAGAATTACCAAATTCCAAGTGTGAAAATTGTTGGGACATAAATTTAGTATATGCTTATATTTTTAAGAAATCACCAAAATGTTTTCCAAAATGATTGCACCATTTTCATACAAATTTACGTCATGTTTTGTTTTCATAGAAACCTACGTAATGGCTACATATAAAAAATTCAAAGCAGAAAGTAACTGTACACATTTAGGGTGAAGTGTGCTTTATGCATTTGTTTGTCCCCCAGCATGCAGCAGGGAGAATACACAGAGTATACAGAAAAGGCAGTTCGTGTACAACATGAATTTGTTGTATAAATGAGTGAATAAATTTTCCCAAATGATTACCTTAAACTTAATTCATAGAACAGATATGCTGAGTAAATGACATAATATATATCAAGCACTCAGTCCAGTACTCGGCACATAATAAAAGTTTAGTATATTTATTATTCTATAAACACAATGTGTTCATGGAAAATAAAACTGGTATTATTAAATTTGCTAAAACACCACATACCACCTTTAAAATTTCTAAGTTATAAAATATGTCTTGCTGAATCCAATGGGGTTTTTTAGTGGTTTGGCTAAGGTATATCTCTGTGGAGATCCTAGTGCTGTATCTCTCTTATTCTTCTAAAACCCAGTAAATGTGAATTATAACATTAAATGTTTTCATGCCTCCATAACTGTTTATTAATTAATTAACAAAATACAAGCATTTGTTCATTCACCATAATTATGTTCATAATGAATGAGGGAATTTGTAGAATTGAAATTCTTACTGATGCCTTCGAAATTACAATTGTGATAGGAAACGTTGAAAAAAATGGCTTGTTTTAGTTGTCAGGAATTGTTGGCTTACATAGTATGCTAAGTCAGAAAGGAGAGCACAGAATACTGAAACTGTACATATTTAAAAAAAAAAAAAAAGGGAAAGGAAGACAGTAAGTAGTTAAGAATAAAATCCGGTCACTTAATTATTAGATTGTAGTGGCAGCTGACTACTTGGTGTTACTGATGAAATCATCCAAGCACTGATGTGCAGAAGGGATGCATCTCCCTGAGGAAATGTTTTTGGACCCCCGCACAGGTGGCCCAAACCCTTGGAGAAGGTGGGTGGGGCTTGTTGGGTGTGATGGTGATAGGAAACAGGGGTTTGTTTGAAGGAGATAAGTAAGATCTGCCAAAATCAAAAGCATAGCATCTTAGAGAATCAAAGGCCACCTCAATACTGAAAATTATCTTTTTAAAAATAAAAAGAGGCATTAATGTGGAACAAATTTTCAGTTTGTGACATCGTCATAGTAATTTCCTCTAAGGTGAGATACTTCTGTAATATTTTGTTACAATGTTTCTTAAACTTTCAGTTTTCTGGGAAATACTTTTCCAAGAAGAATGGCAAGAAAGAAGTGTGGTGAATGAATTAAGAGACAACATTGCAGAGTGATTTCTCACCTTCAGTGTGGAGGTGCATTTGTCAGTCCACCTGCTCATACATTCACACTTGTTAAATGCTGCCTTATTGAGTGCCAGTTATTTGACAGGCTCTCTGCCAGACTCTATAGATAGAAATGTGAATATGAAAAGCACAGAGAAGTTCCCAGCCTGGCAGGGGTGACTTATACAAACTGCCAATTATAATGCAGTGTGTTAGCTGCTATAATTGAGGTATGTACATATTTTTAAAGCTGTAAGGTGTTAGGAGTGACTAATTCTATGTGAAATGGTATGGAGTAAATTCACAAGACCAAGGGGAAGGACTCCTTGGTCCAGGAGAGAAAAAAAGCAATAAAGAGTTGGACAAATGGCCCCTGACCAATCAGCTGGGGTGTAGGGAAGCTACCATGCATAGAAAATTCTCAGTGGACAGCAGTAGGTGCCACGTTCTCCCTGAGGATGTCCCATGGTGAACGCTACTCTATCACACGTGCAGTGCCTGACTCCTCCACCCTTGGACAAACATAGAGCCCAACGCAAAGGCATATACAAAGCCCATCGTTCTTGACAGACTGACTGGGTCTTTCATCCCGGTTCACTTACTGTCTGTGTGACTTTGGTGAGTCATTTAACTTTTCTGCACGTTAATATCTTCATTTGTAAAGTTAGGATAATAATAGTAGCTATCTCATAGGGTTGTGTGTGGGTTTTTTTAGGATTAAATGTAGTAATACGAGTTAAAATTATTAGAACTATGCCCACACAAGAGTGTACTGAGTAAATGTTAATGGCTGCTATATTTAGAGGAGAAGAAAAAGACTGTTTTCTATATCTGCTGATTCTTTTTAAAAATAAATTTATTTATTTTGGCTGCATTGGGTCTTTGTTGCTGTGTGCAGGCTTTCTCTAGTCGAGGTGAGCGGGGGCTCCTCTTTGTTGTGGTGCGCGGGCTTCTCACTTCGGAGGCTTCTCTTGTTGCAGAGCACAGGCTCTAGGCACGCGGGCTTCAGTAGTTGCGGCACATGGGCTCAGTAGTTGTGGCTTGCAGGATCTAGAGCGCAGGCTCAGTAGTTGTGGCTCATGGGCTTAGTTGCTCCACAGCATGTGGGATCTTCCCAGGCCAGGGCTCGAACGCGGGACCCCTGCATTGGCAGGCGGATTCTTAACCACTGCACCACCAGGGAAGCCCAAATCTGCTGATTTTTGAGGCATGGTCCTCTGAAGTTGTACCCAGCTAAATTCTTGTTGATTTCAAGAAGTGGCAGGGCTGTCTACAGAAGCTGGATGCTCATCTGTATTACAAAGAAATGACAAAGCAAAGACAGGATTCGAATCTATTTAATGATGAAAGGAGTGGAGAGCGTAGCTCCTTTTTTGCTGAACAAATTCTTTTTTGTTTTTTTCAAGAGGCAGTGATATTTTATTTTATTTATTTTTTGCATCTCACTCTTTATTTATTTATATTTAACATCTTTATTGGAGAATAATTGCTTTACAATGGTGTGTTAGTTTCTGCTTTATAACAAAGTGAATCAGCTACACATATACATATATCGCAGTATCTCCTCCCTCTTGCATCTCCCTCCCACCCTCCCTATCCCACCCCTCTAGGTAGTCACAAAGCACCGAGCTGATCTCCCTGTGCTATGTGGCTGCTTCCCACTAGCTATCTATTTTCCATTTGGTAGTGTATATATGTCCATGCCACTCTCTCACTTCGTCCCAGCTTACCCTTCCCCCTCCCTGTGTCCTCAAGTCCATTCTCTACGTCTGCATCTTTATTCTTGCTCTGCCCCAGGTTCTTCAGAACCATTTTTTTTAGATTCCATATATATGCGTTAGCATACGGTATTTGCTTTTCTCTTTCTTACTTCACTCTGTATGACAGTCTCTAGGTCCATCCATCTCACTACAAATAACTCAATTTCATTTCTTTTTATTGCTGAGTAATATTCCATTGTATATATGTGCCACATCTTCTTTATCCATTCATCTGTCAATGGACACTTAGGTTGCTTCCATGTCCTGGTTATTGTAAACAGAGCTGCAATGAACATTGTGGTACATGACACTTTCTGAATTATGGTTTTCTCAGGGTATATGCCCAGTAGTGGCATTGCTGGGTCGTATGGTAGTTCTATTTGTAGTTTTTGAAGGAATCTCCATACTGTTCTCCATAGTGGCTGTATCAATTTACATTCCCACCAACAGTGCAAGAGGGTTCCCTTTTCTCCACACCCTCTCCAGCATTTATTGTTTGTAGATTTTTTGATGATGGCCATTCTGACTGGTGTGAGGTGATACCTCATTGTGGTTTTGATTTGCATTCCTCTAATGATTAGTGATGTTGAGCATCCTTTCGTGTGTTTGTTGGCAATCTGTATATCTTCTTTGGAGAAATGTCTGTTTAGGTCTTCTGCCCATTTTTGGATTGGGTTGTTTGTTTTTTTGATATTGAGCTGCATGAGCTGCTTGTAAATTTTGGAGATTAATCCTTTGTCAGTTGCTTCATTTGCAAATATTTTCTCCCATTCTGAGTGTTGTCTTTTCGTCTTGTTTATGGTTTCCTTTGCTGTGCAAAAGCTTTGAAGTTCCATTAGGT